TTCCATCCCCAGCACTCCTCCAAAAATTAATAATAAAGAATATGGGAGGGTGTGTGCAGGTTATAGATAAATACCCCATCACAAGGCTGGAGAGGTGGCCTGGTGTTTAAGAGCACTGGCTTCTCTTGCTGAGGACCTGGGCTCAGTTCCTGGAACCCACATGGTGGCTAACAACCATCTGTAACTCCAGTTCTAGGGGATCTCATGCCCTCTCTGGCCTCTGTGGGCATTGCATGACATGGATACACTTACATACATGCAGGCAAAACACTCATACACAGAAAATCAAAATCAATAAATAAAAATTGAGAAGAAAAAAAAACAGGCTTGGTAAATCCATGGAGACAGATGCAAGGGTAGTGGTTGCTAGGGGCTGGGGAGGAGCAGTGGGGCAGGCTGTGCAGTAGGTATGGGGCTCCTTTGGAGGGCACTGAGCACTCAGGGAACAAGATGGAGGTTGTGATTGCACATGTGAGGGGATGAAATGCTGGGATTGTGCAATTTAAAACAGCTGAAGTGCTGGGGTATGGCTCAGCGGCAGAGTGCTGGACTAGGATGCCAGAGACCTTGGGTTTAGGGATCTCCTCTTCTTAGGGGTCAGGCCTGTGTTGGTCAGATTGAGCTGGTGTCACACGATGCCAGGCACAGGGTGGCTGATAAGTCACAGAAACCTACTTCTCATGGTCCAAGAAGTTTTGATCAAGGTACCAGCACGTTTAGGTTCTGGGGACCCCCCACCCAGAGCTGCAGGCTGCTGACTGATCTTCTCATGGCGAACAGGAAGGAGCTCTCTGCCCCCCACTTCCCTCCCCACCTTCCTGCTTTCTAAACAGGTCTCATGTAACCCTGGTGGTCCTCAAACTCATTGTGTTGCCAAAGATGACCTTGAACTCTGATCTTCCTGTCTCCACCTCCAGAGCACTGGGATTACATGCATGTACCACCACACCGGTCCTGGGGACCCCAGTCATGGATCCTAGTCATGGTCTCCACCCTTAGCACCCTCTAAAGCCCCACCCCCGCCGTTAATAGGTCCTATTGAGAGTCAGGATTTCAACACTTGAGCTGCAAGTGAAAGGCACACACATTTGTTGCTCTGCAGTGACCCTGGAGGAAGCGTCTAGTCACTGGGGCCACTGCTTAGCCTGGGGTGTGGGTTACTGTCTTCCTTGCAGTGGTAAATAACTATCCTGCTTTAGTCAGCCAGCTTCATAGCGCCTCTTTCAATGATGGGGGGGCTTGTTTTACACACCCCAAAAGGGAAGGCAGCCTTATTATGTTGCTCAGAAAAGAGGAATGAGTCTTTTGAACCCAGACCCTGGGCTGGGACAGCCCCTTCACACGCATGCACACACGCACACAGGCAGACTTCGTGCTCCACTTCCTGGGACTCCTGTAGCCTCTTATACGCACTCTGTGACAGTCTGATTCATTCATCCCTGATCTTCTGGTCTGGGAGCCTGTAATGGACATTATGTCGTTAAGTTGCCATGTGCTATCTGAGCTCACTGAGAAGCTGGCTTTGGAAACTAGGCTGCCCCCTGCCCCATTTCAGAACCAAGCATGTTTGTCTCAGTGTCCTCCAAGGCCCTTGTCTGGAGGTAGACAGGCCCCCTAACTCTGTGACAGGGAGTAGAGAACAGCCAAAAATCCCAAGAGTAAAAGCATCGTATCCTTGAGAACAGCTGGAAGGTAAACTGTTTCCAACAGAAGTGTCTACTGTTTATCCCATAATATAAAAGAGCCAGCGGTGGGAAGGAGAAGCAGAAGTTCAGCCCCAGAGAGACCTCAGTTGGGAGCTCCAGCTGCTGCTTCAGCTTCCCAGTCGGTTTGTGCTGGATGCTGTGAGCACCTGATTTGATGAAATTTTCCTATATCTACCTTTCTTTCTTTCTTTCTTTCTTTCTTTCTTTCTTTCTTTCTTTCTTTCTTTCTTTCTTTCTTTCTATCTATCTATCTATCTATCATCTGTCTATCATCTATCTATCTATCAATCTATCTATCTATGCCAGATAGTTTTAGTTGTCAACTTGACACAGGTAGAGGGAGTCTCAACTAAGAAATTGCCTCCATTGGACTGACTTGTGGCCATATCTGTGGGGCATTTTCTTGAGTGATATGGGAGGTCCCAGTCCACTGTGGGCAGTGCCAGCCCTGGGCAGATGGGCCTGTGTTGTATAAGAAAGCAGGCTGAGTACAGGCCAGGAGACCAAGCCAGTAAGCAGCGTTCCTGCATGGTCTGTGCTCCAGCTCCTGCCTCCAGGTTCCTGCCCTGAGTTCCTGCTGTGGGCTCCCTCAGTGATGAACTGTGACCCGGGAGATGTCAGCTGAATAAACTGTTACCTCCCTGTGCTGGATGGCTTTAGTGTCAACTTGACACACCTGGGTTGAGGGAGCCTCAATTGGGGAATTGCCTCTATTGGACTGGCCTGTGGCCATGTCTGAGGGGCATCTTCTTGATGAGTGATGTGGGAGGGCCCAGCCCACTGTGGGTGGTGCCACCCCTGGGCAGGTGGGCCTGTGTTGGATAAGAGAGCAGGCTGAGCAGGGGCCAGGGGAGCAAGCCAGTAAGCAAGTGTTCCTTCATGGCCTGTGCTCCAGCTCCTGCCTCTAGGTTCCTGCCCTGAGTTCCTACCTTGGGCTCCCTGATGAACTGTGACCTGGGAGATGTAAGACAAATAAACCCTTTCCTCCCCAAGTTGGTACTAAGACAGAAATTGGTACCAAAGAGTGGGATATTGCTGTGACAGACCTGACCTTGGTGTTTTTGGGAGGACTGTGGAAGTGTTTGGAACTTTGGTCTGGAAAAGCCATTGCGTGCTCAGAGTTTGTTGCTGTGGAGCTTGGAACAGTTATGCTGAAAGAGTTGTAGACTATGGAGGCCTGGCTTGTGAAGTTTCAAAGGGAAGTGGAGACGATCAGGGCTGTTCATGTGAGATTTTGGATTGAGAATCTGTAGGTTCTGGTCGGCTGGGGTTGAAGAATCATCTGTGATTAAGAAGGGACCAGAAACTGAAACAAAACCTTTGCTTTACTGGGACAATTGATGCTGGTTAGCTGGGGCTGAAAAATCAGCTGTAAGTACCAAGAGACCAGCATCACCATGGTGGAGTCTTCTGGGAGGCATTTCCTCAGGGTCAGCACACAGAGGGGACTTGAGCCTCCATCTGTAGCTGGAAGCAGGACTTGGTAATGTGTAAGAGTCTCCTGCATGGTTCTGGTGTTGAAAGCGTGAAGGGGTCACAGAGAGCAGCTGAGGCTTGGCACTCTGAGAGGCCAGGAAAGGCCATAGGTGAAAGTGCAGCTTCAGTTGCAGCGAAGACCCCAGGATTGAAGGGGTCATGGAGAGAATCTGAGGCTTTGCACCCCAAGAGGCAAGAAGAGGCCACTGGTGAAGGTGTAGCCTCAGTATCAGTGGAGACCCCAGGTTTTGGAGATGCCGGGACCATGGGACGACCACCAAGGACAGCAGTAGGTGTGGAATGGAGCTGGCCTGGGTCTGTGAGATGTGTGTGCTATGGATGGCAGGGTCAGAGCAGTGGAGCTGCTAGTACCCTTTGGAGCCTAGAAGATCATGAGTGAATCCCAGATGTCCAGCCTCGAGCTGCTTTGCTGGACTTGGGTTTTGCTTAGGTGTGCCCGATTCTTCCCTTTGACTTTTTTTTTTTTTTTTTGAAGCAGGGTCTTCCTGTAGCCCCAGCTGTCCTGGAACTCACTATGTAGACCAGGCTGGACTTGAACTCACAGAGATCCGCCTGCCTCTGCCTCCTACAGGCGTGCGCCACCACGCCCGGCCAATTCTTTCCTTTGAAATAAGACAGTACTTGTTTTGGATTTTACAGAAGCCCACCCACAGTTGAGACTTTTAAAAGAGACTATGGACCTTAAAGTGTTTGGATTTTTTAAGGACTGTGGGGTTTTTAAGGTTGTACTGTCTTAGGTTGTGATATTAACATCGTATCTTGGGGACAAAAATTGGAAAGTTATGGTTTAATAGTGATGTTTGTATGTCAAGTTGACAAGGGGTCAATTGTGTCTGGATAGCTTTAGTGTCAACTTGACACACCTGGGTTGAGGGAGCCTCAGTCAGGGAATTGCCTCTATTGGACTGGCCTGTGGCCATGTCTGAGGGGCATCTTCTTGATGAGTGATGTGGGAGAGCCCAGCCCACTGTGGGTGGTGCCACCCCTGGGCAGTGGGCCTGTGTTACATAAGAAAGCAGGCTGAGCAGGGGCCAGGGGAGTAAGCCAGTAAGCAGCGTTCCTCCATGCCCTGTGCTCCAGCTCCTGCCTCCAGGTTCCTGCCCTGAGTTCCTACCTTGGGCTCCCTGATGAACTGTGACCTGGGAGATGTAAGCTGAATAAACCCTTTCCTCCCCAAGTTGGTAGTGGCAGAGTGTTTTGTCACAGCAATGAAGAACAAACTAGGACACTCCCCAAGTTGGTATTGGTCAGAGTACTTTATCACAGCAACTGAAGACCAGCTATAACACTATCTGCCTCAGTCTGTCATCTATGTCTGTCTATGTATCATCTATTTATCTACCACCTATTTATTATCTATCATCTGTCTGTCTATCCATCTATCACTTCCTATTTTTTCTTTTACTTTGGCTTGCTATGCACTTAATGACTTACTCATTCAAAGCCTGATGTGTCCGTCATTCTCTGAACCATACAGATCAGGGCCATAGAGAATCCCTCGGGGAAAGCAATGCAGGAAGCTGGGCAGGGTAGCTTTGTAAATGGCCTATATTCAGCAGCCCATTTAATAGATGGGGAGATTGGGGCTCAGGGCTGGGAGCCTAGTAACTTACATGTTCTCAGGCAGCCCTCCTCAGCATAGTTTGGACAACAGCGCCCCTACCTGCTGGAGACCCCTCCAAGCCCTCGATGTGGTATCACTCATCTACCCAGTCCCTGACCACATTCCCATTGTCACTGAACTCAAAATCTTAGGAAGATTTTATTGAATTTTCTTGAAGTGGGATCAATGCGCCTTGCTTCACCTTTGGTCTGGTTCGGATATAAACATCCATGTCTGCAGACCCCAGGGCCAGGCTGGCATGGAGGAGGGAATGGCCCTAGGTTGGGCCTTGTCTTAGTCCTGGAGCTTGCTAGAGAACACCTCAGCTCTGTCCAGGGATGGCCCCCGGTTCACAGATGTGTAGGAAGACTCAAAGGTCTCCAGGGTCTTGGGGACAGCCTCCTGTGTGATCTGAGAATCATGCGTTGTTTCCCCATCAGAGTTTCCTGTATCCCTAAGCAAGAGAGTGGAGAGAGCCAGGGTGAGCCAAACTGAAACTTCCACAGCTGCTCAGGGCTTTCACACTCAGACACTGATTTCAAGAGTATAACCTCATACATGCATTCAACAAACCAATGTTTTGGGGGCCCTTGCTGTGTGCCAAGCCCTGGGCATAAGGAAAGTGCCCCCCCCCCAGTTTTTTGTTTCTTTTAAATTATGTGAATAGTTTCCTGTCTGTGACCTGAAAAATTGGAGGCCATTGTCTCATGTCTCCAAAGTACTAAGATCATCTGTAGAGACAAGCCACAGTAGACCACATGGAGCAGACGTGTCTAGGCGAGGGCACCGGTTAGGCTTCCTTGGCCCTGAAGGAGGGGTCGGGGCAGAGGAAGGCCCATGGGTGAGAGTGAGGAGAAGGGCAGTAGACTAAGCAGGGCAGGAACAGGTAGGGATGGTCTGGGGTAGAGAGAAGAGCTAGGCCCTCCTGGAGACTGGGACCAGACTCAGCACTTCCCAGGGAAGAGACGTGACCACAGTCCAGCTGCAATAGGCTGCTGTCATTTAACTTCAGTACTTTTTACATTTAAATGTCAGAGGGATAACCTGATTTCACTGCCCATCCCCAGCCCATCCCAGCCTGGCTAGGTTCAGGGTCCCAAGTTAATTTCACCTACTGGGGGGAGCTTTCCCACTTCCTCCCCACCCCAACTGAAACAACTCTCTTGTCTTCAAAGGCCTCTGGAGTCTCCTTGACTGGCCACAGCTGGGCCGAGCAGCACCACTGACTGGGATCCATTCCTGTATTCATGAGCTTGCTTTCTCCGACTCCTCTTCCAGGAAACCCGCCTGCTGCTGCTCCAGTGCCCGCCAGTCAGTCCCTGGATTCTCATGTACTACAGTCTGGTTGAGTGGGTGGGAAGGGGATTGATTCACCACCGGCTTCACCCTCTCAGGCTCCAGCAGTCAGGAGACCAGGTTCTAGACCCAGGCCTTGACATAGGGTTGCCTTCTCTCCCATAGGCCTCAGTTTGTCTACCTGAACAGCACCTGGGTGCATTACCATAACAGCTCCCAGGCGCTGCCCTGAGGGCTTGACAGAGCTAATCCCACCTGACCTTCACCACTGTGTCCTGGATAACATTATTATCTCTGTTTCCCAGACAGGAAACTGAGGACCAGAAAGACCATATGCCTTGCTAAGGTTGTACAACTCTATCAGAGCTAAGGTCCCTCTCCTTTGTGGGTGCCTGGGTAGAACCCAAGGCTTCCTGCAGGCTAGGCAAGTGCTGTACACAAAGCTACACTCCTAGCCCCAAAACTGAGCTCTGAATGAACCCACTGCCCACAAAGTGGGGTACACCTGAGCCCCAATCTCCCGAGGCCCTCCCCCAGCCCCTTCCTTCCTAACTTCTCTGATCCCTGAATCCACCTCGCCTTTCAGTCCTCCCACTCTGAGCCCCTGCCTCCCCACAACCCCTCCTCCCCTGCTCCTCTCTCTCCTGAGTCCCTCCCTAGACAGCTAGAGGACCTGGCCTTGGAAGTCCCAAGACTTTCACCTGCCCCACCCCTCTAGGGTGGCCAGAAGCCCCTAACTTGCTCCTTCCCCCAGCCCTGCCTCAGAGGACCAGGCTGCCAAGTTTTTCCTGAGGAGGATGTCTCTGTCCCCTGGGTCTAGTCCTCCCAACTGGCAGTACTCACACAAAGCTGAGGACGATGGCCCCCGCAAAGCCCACAAGCAGGAAGAAGGGCAGGGAGCCCAGGATGGAGGTGATGACGATCATGCCTCCGCTCCGACGGCCTGGCCATGTGTCGATGGTTGAGTAGGGGATGGCTGCAGAGAACCAGGACCCTCTTACTTCTCATACAATGCCCCACCCTAGGTCTTCGTCCAGAGACAGGCAGGTTCCCCCCTACCCCCAACTTGCCCTGACTGCCCAGAGTCCAAGATGACCCAAGGACCCAGGGCAGTGACTGTCCCTTTCCAAGCTTGAGCTCAAAGGCCTGCCTGCCTTACACCCCAGTTTCCACAGTCTGAATGTTTCTGGTCTCTTACTTCCTTTTGTATAAGATAAAGTTATAGAGATTTCCAAGATTTCCAGTGACATGGGTGGAATATGTGTTGTAAATTATTAAAATGAAGTTGAGCAAAGGGCAGGCCTAGCTGGGCCTGTGAGGCTGTGGCTCTCCCTCTTCTGGCTAGTGTCACCCTTGGAAACAACCTACAGGCTCTACATAAAGACAGCCACTCTGTAGCATTGGAGACCTTACTCTGAGCTCACGCATGGCACTCAAGACCCCAGGCCTAGGTGGTCCCAGATGCACACCATTCCCAGAGGTCAGGCCTTAGGACCTGCCGGAGGAAAGCTGGGCCTGGTCCTGCTGTCAGACTTCCTAGGTGGGACTCCACCAGGCGGGCTGGGGAGAGGTTCTTCCCAGCGCTCAGGAAAGGAGGCAGAGGTACGAGGGGCAGAGGTCAGGCTTAGAGCCAGGCTGTGCCCCAAAGATCTCAAGGCTGCTTCAATGGGACCAAGATAAGTGGGAATGTCATAGGATGGGGGGCAGGGAGGAAGCGTGGGTGGGGTCACCCAGCAGCCCACACATGCCACATATACTTACCCACATACAACATATACCATATATAACCACACTCAATACACATCATACACACTCATAGACCCGTGCTATATATCACACATACACACTCACAGACACATGTCCCACACTACTCCACACACCACATACCACACACACATAGACCCATGCAACACACCACTCATTCATACACACACAGACACATGTCCCACACCATGCCACACACCACACACACTCATAGACCCATGCAACACACCAAACACGCTCCTGCACACACATGTAAACCACAGACACACACCACACATTCAGACCCATGGCTAATTCAGTTATACTAACAGCCGTGTTCACTTTCACATATATACACCATAAACATATCACACTCTCCTCCATGCCCCTTGCTAGTGTGTGACCCCAGGCAACCTTTTGGAGCCTCTTGCTCCATGTGGCCAGCGTAGACAGCAGAGCTCTGTCTCCTACCTCCAGTCCCACCTTGGTGCTGAAGTGAGGAGCAGGGAGTTTCTCCACTGAGGTTGCTCAAAGATTACCTGGCCTTTCTCTGCACAGCACAAATGGCCCAGGAACATAAGTGTGTATGAGCCTGGGCTCTTTGCTGAGAACCAGAGGGATGGAGGCAGGACCTCAGTTGTCCTGTGACCTCTTAGCCCCTGCCATGTGCCTCAGGGGCTCTGAGTGAGGGGAGGGCATGGTTGTTCCCGAGTCCTCAGTCTTTGAACTGTCCTGTGTGGATACAGATGCAGATCCAGCCACAGAACCAACAGGCTCTGAGTCCAGACATACTCCTGCTGTTCAAGGTGAGCACACATTAGTCCCTGATCTTGACTTTAGTACCTTTATTGTGGCTCAGCCCAGCCAACCCTGCACCTTGCTCTCAATGGTGGAAGAGGGAAGAGGTTGCTTCAGGTTAGACTATCACAGAAACCACTGTGTTCAACAGCCAAATGCCTGAGGGGCTTTTCCCAGTAACAACCTGAGTCTCCTCTTGATCATACCTGACCCTGTATTCCTGGGGTTCCTTAAGGATCACCCCAGAACCAGCCCATCCCCAACACACACTTACGCTGGTTGGTACGGATGGGATCTGACCATAGGGTCTGCTCTTGCACCAAGCCTGTGGACATGTTAACCAGGACATATTTGAACCTGGAAGAATTTGGAGTAAGAGTGACTTCCATCCATCTTGTGCACCCAGCCACAGGGACAGGAGGGAGGAGGGCCATGTGGACACAGGGAGACTTCCAGCAGACAGCCACTGGGTGGGCCAGCACAGCAGGATAGTAGAAGGATGCTGGCCTTGACCACATAGCACCCTGGATCTGTCCCAGCTTGGCTACACCTGTTTCAGGAAGCCTTCGGAGCTGGGGGCTCAGCAGTCCCTTCAGGAGCATCCTCTTTATTTTATGCAGCACCGGCAACACCTTTGCTGGGTGTTAGCACACATCCTTCTGGCAGCTCTGGTCCTTGGGATCACAAAGTGACTTAGAACATCAGCGATAACATCCATCATCAGCCCCAGTGACCTTGGGTCAGGGCCATGTTTTAGATGCAGGAACCCCAAACAAAGATGGTTAGTCAGAAGACAGCAAGACAGTGAGACTAGACAGTCTGCAGAAGTCCCGGTTTAAAATGATGAATGCAATTACATGAGGACCAACTCATCTACAACCTGTAGTCTAATGACACTTAAAATTAAAACCCTGGACAGGCCTTTAATCCCAGCACCCACTCAGGAGGCAGAGACAGGTGGATCTCTGTGAGTTCAAGGCCAGCCTGGTCTACATAGTGAGTTCCAGGCCAGCTGGGGTTACAGAGAGCCCCTGTCTCAAAAAAAAAATGTTAAAACCCCTTGGGCTGGGACTGTAGTTCAGTAGGACACATGCTCAGCATGTGTGACTCACACTTAAGCCAGGCATGGTGAAGCATACCAGTAATCCCAGCACTCGAGAAGTAGAGGCAGGAGACTCAGGAGTTCAGGCCTAGCCCAGACTACATGAAACCTTGTCTCAAAATGAGAGAGAAAGTTTCAGACAGAACAGGATTGCACAGTGGTAAGTGGCAAGCTGGGTCCTTCTGACCTACATATCAGGAAATCAACCCTGCCTGAGACCTGGGATGGTCCCTGTATCAAAGCTCTGAGAAATGTGGTTTCCCCCACTTTGTCCCCTCTTCCATCCTCCCACACCTACACACACCCACCTGTACTCTGTGGCTGCTGACAGGGGTGGGTTGCAGAGGCCCTGGAAGTTGGGGTCCCATAGACAGGTCCGATTGCTGCCCACCCTGACCAGGTATGCGTTCAGGATCTCTGAAGCCTGGGTCACATCTCCGACGGCATCCAGGCTGGGCAGGTCACTGCAAGGGGTCAGGTCGAAGGCTGCAGCCTTGTAGGGGCCTGTACTTCCGCCCTGAGTTTGCCTGAAGGTGGAGCTCAAGGGGATCCCCGCACCATCCTGCACAGATGCATTCCTGGAGTTGGCTGCAGAAGTGGTGCTGGGAGTCAGGACTCTGGCCACTGCAGATTAGTAACATCTACACAGTCATTTATTGGATGCCCCTGAGCCTCCACTCTGTCCCACGCTGGTGCCGAGTCCTGTGGTGATATGCAAGCTAAGTCCTCACTCTCACAAGACAATAGTGCAACTGGCCCAGGAACACCTTCCTGGTGTTAGACTTTAGGTCTGTCTCTCATCCCCCACCCCCATCTTACAATGTCACTATAACCCCTAGCGCAACAGATTTTTGCCACCTGTAGCTGGCAGGCCTATAAATCAGAAAGAGGGTAATGCTGGGATGTATGTGGCCAGACCCATGTTGGGTCCCACATCTCTTTGTTACCTGGGTGACCTTGAACCATTTACTTGACTTCTCTGGACCCCAGACTTCTGTGAAATGGCAGAAAAATACCCCGAGGTGCCCTCAGATGGGGCATAGGTCTGCTTCCAGTAAAGGTTTTCAGACAATAGAATGTTGGCAGTGTTGAGAGGCTGTCACCGGGAGCAGGAACAAGTATGGTGTGTGGCACCCCCAGTCCCCAGAAGGACCTCAAGAAGGGCTTGAGGACTAGCAGCAAGATCTGGATTTGCTCTGTCACTGTGGAGGCTCCAGGGAGGGACCCCCATGCCTGCCTCAATTCCCCGCTCTGCCACAGTACCCTGCGCGCTGCTTATAGACATCAGCTCTGAGATGGGCAGGGCACTTGGTACTCAGAAACTGGTGTGTCTTTCCCCCATGAGCCTGGATGTTAGGGTAAGGGCAGCCACAACTCTGCCAGTGCGTGCATGGGGCTGCCAAGCAGGGGAGTCCAGCTGACCTCAATAGACATGCAGCACCCTGTTACCCACTTTCCTCCTCCTCCTCCCTGTGGAGAGGTCAAGGACTCTTTCAGAGGTGAGCAGGCTCTTACCTGAATCAACCATAGCATAAAGGTAGACCTCGTAGGTGCCGTTGAGCGGCTCTGAGCTATCAAACATGCACAGAGGCTTCTCCAAGGCCACAGTGGTGAGGGTGGGGTTGTTGGTGGCAAAGGTCACGCTGGCCAGTTGGGGCTGGAGGTTCACAGCTGGCGAAGGCAAGAAGGATGGGAGCTGACCTCTGGGCACCGGAGTAACTGAGCACCTGCTCTATGCCAGGCCCCGGGTTTGGCCCTCCCAACGGACATCTCAAGAACATCTCTCAGGCATACGCAGTGCCTGTTCCTGACCCTGCTGTTCATCCTGGGCAGATACCTCCCCACCCCACGCCAGTCAGCCAGTCTTTATTCTCTGATGTCACTCCCAAGATCTCTCTACCCTAGGGGCTTTCACCCTCCGTCCCACACTCTTCACCTGGACCCTAGTAACAGGGTCCTCTAACATGCAAATCCCATCCTGTTTTCCTTCCTCTAAGACCCTTTGCAGCTCCCACTGCCCTCCCATGAGTTCAACCTCTGAAAATATCTACAGATCTCCACCCTCACCTTTTGTCATCCCCACACACACTCTAGGTTACAACAAGAACAAACAAGCCCCCCCCACTCCCAGAACTTTCTCCTGCAGCTCCTCAGCAGGAACCCCACCTCCAGCGGTCACCACATGGCACCCATCACAAGGCTGTGGCCACCTGTCGGTGGGTACTAGGATTCCCACCAGAGGGGACTCATAAATGCTGACTATTTTTCTGACTACTATTGCTAATGTCTGGGCTCCCACGCCGGTTCCTGGACCGCCCAAATGAAGTTCCTAGTCTGATCGGTGTCCCAGCTCCTCCCTGTGCCCTCCATCCCCGGCTTACTCCATCCACATTGCAGACAGCCGAGGACCAGCAGAGCCCAGAGCAGAGGCATGGCCCAGGATGAGCCGCTGCAGCGCGGTCCACCCTGCGAGCGCACACCTGGTCTCTCCTGCCCAGTGCACCTGCTGCCCGGAGCCCTGCACGAGCCTTGCCCTTCCAGCGCAGGCCAATCGCCGGTCTCTTCGCAGGCTATTTGCATACGATCCCGCCCACTAGCGCAGCGCTCCTGAGTACCGGTCCTTGCTAGGTTGTTTCCTGTGCCTTCAGCAAAGCGCCTACTGCGTGCAGAGATCGAGCTGGCGTCTTCACAGTGTCTTCTGGGTCACCCCCAATCTGGAACCTCAGTTTCTGCCCTGTAAAGTGGGGACGCGAATTCTGACAAGCACGAGCCCCTACACTGTAGATGTGACGAGACATGTAAATGTGCCAGACACTGGATAAATTACAATCCAGTCCTGGATCTGTGAAAACACTCGGATAGGTCTTTGGGTTCACAGGTGCAAGACCGACACCCAGGGAGGCTGAGGAGGGGCTGGGATTGGTGGGACCCAGAGTCCTGCCGCCCAGGCCAGGGCTGCTGATTCAAAGAGGATAGAATAGCGGTTTTCTGTTGTTGTTGTTGTTGTTGTTGTTGTTGTTATTTGAGATGAGGTCCCAATATGCCCCTGGCTGGCCTGCAACTCACTATGTAGACCAGGCAAGCCTGGAACTCACAGAGATCCACTGCCTCTGCCTCCTGAGTGCTGGGACAGAGTTTTTAACCCCTCTCTGTTTCCTGTCTGTGTACATCTCCAAATGCACTTTAAACCATTTACATGTAAGACACAGAAGCAAGTCGACAAGTATGGGAGGAAGCAAAAAAAAACCCATCTGTGACTTCAGAATGAGCTATCTCAGGCTCTTGATGGAGAAAACTCTAAGAACAAGAGTCCAGAGATGGAAGACAGGACCTTATTGGAACATTGATGGTCAGGAGGGTGAGGCAGTTTGGGGATAGCCTGGTACTGGAGTTGCACCCACTAGAGAATTAAGGAAATTTGGAATGGAGAAAGAACTCAGAGGAGCAAAATAGGACGAGAGAGATGGCACAGTGGGTAGAGTGCTTGCTGTATAAGCATGAGGGCCTGAGTTTGGTTCCCCAGCACCCTTGTAAAAAGCCAGACATGAGCCAGGTGTGGTGGCGCATGCCTTTAATCCCAGCACTCAGGAGGCAGAGGCGGGAGGATCCTTGTGAGTTTAAGGCCAGCCTGGTCTACATAATGAGTTCAGGTCAGCTGGGACTACAAAAA